GTTTTTAGAATTAAAATTTTGAACAAAAATTCAAAAGAATTGAAAGTTATCAAAAACAGGAAAAACAAATTTTGGAAAGATAAAGTAGGAAATATCTTCCAGAAGACAGAACAAAATGTTAAGAGATGGAAGATTAGGTGGAAAAAAAAAAAAGACTATTAAACAAGTAATCAAACTTACTAATAGGAGCTCCAGAAAGAGAAAATGGAGGAGAGTAAATTATTAGATATACTACAAAAATATTTCCCTAAACAAAAACATGAGTTTCCAAGTTAAAATACCCAAAGTATCCAGCATAGAAAGTAAAAAACAAAACAAAACAAAACAAAACAAACAAACAAAAACCATGCCAAGATATACCACTGTGAGTTTTAATACCTACAGCTTTTGGAAAGTAAAATCACAATTTATGGACTAGGACTTTCAAAAGCAACACTCAATATATAAGGAAAAACTTCTAAATTTGGAAAGAAAATTATTTCTAGCCTGAAATTATAAAACCCAGCCAACATATCCAATATAAGGCAATATAAACATTTTCAGATGTGCAACTCAAAAATTTGCCCTTCATTTACTGCCTTTTCCAGGAAGCTACTAAAGAATGTGCTCCATAAATACAAAGCAGTAGAGGAGGAAGGGAAGCCGTGGACTCCAGCAGGGGCATTTATCATGGACACAGCAATCTGACCCCCAGAGTGAGGCAGAGAGCCCCCAGGTAATAGCTGCATGGCAGTAGCCCCAGGCAGCCACCAGGCCAGATGGGAGCAGATCTGAGAGCTCTGGAAAGGGCACCTCGAAGAGAAAAAAAAAAGAACCAGATGTACTTGCCAGTTGAACAAGCTGGAAAAGCTTTGGTGATAAGTTTGGTAATAATTTAATAGGCATGTAGAAACTAAACAAATAGAAAACTGGGGTGATCATATGAGGGAAAGTAAAAGCTAGACAAGGAAATATAATCCTAGATTACATGGTTATAATATAAATGCTGCCTATTAACTTAATTAGAAGTCATGATAAAATTACATATGTGTTTGGGGGCAGGGAAATAAGACTAAATGCTCATCACAGTAGGAAATGAAAAGGTTAGGTCCAAAACTGAAAAAATCAGTCACTAACGATATCATGCTGGTCAGACACATGATAGAAACACCCAGGTACACTGCCGTAAGATGTGAAAGTAGCCAGGGGGTGGAGAAATACGGGGCAGGGTTGTTGTTTTTCTTTGTAAGCCTTGCAGTATTGCCTGATTTCTGAACTATGCAACGATGCTATTTAAAAATAAGTCTACCAGGCCCAGCCCATGACCACAGCAGCTGCTCAGTAGTGGGTTACTGAGCTCTGGTTGCATGAGTCTCCAGCCAGGTCCAGCTGCAGCTCCCCAGAGGGACAGTGGGCTTTGTCCAGGAGTGGACATCTGCCATTGCACTGGCCACCTTGATACAACTGTCAAAGATCTCCTCCCCACCCAAGTCCAAGTCCTCATCCTTGCAGCTTACTGCCTTCATCTGTTTCCTTGTCTATCTTTCCCAGGGGACTAAGAGCTCCCTGAAAGCCAGTTGCATCTCTGTTCCTCCCCCTGCCACTCCTCAGCGGTGAGCCCAGGGCCTGAATCTGGCAGGTACTCAGTACTCAGCAATTCCCTCATATGTGAGTGTAGACAGAGGGGGTTTATGGTCCAAAGAATCCCTTGGGAAGTTTGGTGGAAAGGGAGGGGTGGTTGCATGAGGCTTGCCAGGAGGGTGAGGCCTGGACCAGTATCCTCCTCTGACCAGCTATGCAACTCCTCACCCATTCTTGTGCAACATTCGGTCTCACCTATTGTGGTTCTGCTCCCCAGGGAGCCACGTGACTCACCAGGAGCTTCTGGCCCAAGGCACTGCCCTTGCCATCATGGACAACACAGAGGATGCAAGTGGGCTACTTCAATAAACCCTTTCCCATAAGTAATCCCAGCTACCTTCAGAGTCTATGTGCACTGGTTCGTTTAACTCTCACAGAAGTCCCATGAGTTGCGTGTTGGTCCTCCTTTCCTTGCCATTTTATAGGTGAAAGAACAGGTTTACAGAATTGAAATATCTTTCTGATGTGCTCTGAACCACTATGCTGGAATCCCCAATAGCTATCTTTTGTTTCCATTGGTGTCAGAGATGGGAGAGACCTATGATGAGGAAATGAAGGCCTAGGTCCTAGGCCAGGGGTGGGCAAACTTTCCGTCTCGAGGGCCACAATGGGTTCTTAAACTGGACTCAGAAGAAGGAGCTGCAGCCGTGTTTCCCGACGTTGCCATGGTAACACTGCTGCTGGTGAAGGAGCGGAGGGGAGAGCAAGAGAATCCTCCGCTCTTTCGGCTCCGCGGGCCGGATAGAACAGCCGAACGGGCCGAATCCGGCCCGCGGGCCGTAGTTTGCCCACGGCTGTCCTAGGCCCTAGGAGGAAAGTATCTCACCTAGAGTTACATCAGAGCTGGTGGAAGAGCCTGGACTAGAATCCTGTCTCTTGACTTCCTTTCCTGCCCACCACTACACACTGACTCCCTGGTAAAGCCAGCCTGTCCGGGAATGATGAGGCAGCAAACGGCTCCACGAGGAACGTCCCCCTCCCTCTCTGCCCACCCAGCCCGTCATGAAGTGGACAGGATGGGAAAGAGGCCCTCCTACCTTTCCAGCACCACTCTCTCCACTGACAACGATGGACTGGTTGACTGGCTCAATCAGGCTCTTGACATTCCTGTAGGTCTGTTCACCCACAGTGAAGATGTGGGGCTTCAGTTTCTGAAACATCAAGGGGCGAAAGGTCATGTGAGGGAATGCATGTCTTCAAGGAATGCTGATCCAATGATGGCTGAGATGGGGAGCCTGCCAACAGCAGTGCCAAGAGGCTTCCTCTAGAAAAATCTCCTGGAAGGCCCAACTATGGGACACCCCAGGTGGCTTTACCCACTCATCTTCTCTCAGTCTGGAAGCAGAGCTAGCCTCAAATACTTTATCCCATTTTATCTTAAAAGTCTTATTCTGTTCTGTATTATTTTGTTACTGTACTTTGCAGTTTGCAAAGAATTTCCTTCAAGTTATTGCCTAAGAAGTCTGTATTAGATGGATAGCTAATCCTCTTTCATAGATGAGAAATCTGAGGTTCGGAGAGGTTAAATAACCTTCCCAAGGCCACTCAGCAAGTAAGTGAAACCATCTGATTTGCATTCCAAGGCCACTGTTCTCCTTTCCATCACCAAACATTAATTGTCCTCAATGTGCCAGGTATCAAGGTGGGCACTGGGAAAGCAGAGGGCACCATGACATGGCTTTTGCCCTTGAGGAGGCAGATGGTCAGTGAGATATGGGCTCTCAGGACAGACTTCACATGATTCCACCCCACAATGATTGCTTACCCACAGCTTCCTGAAGGAGAAGGCACAGTTCTGGATGGTGTCAGAGCTGTCCCTCTCTCCATCAGCTTCTGCCCCAGTCACTTCTCACCTGGACTATTACCAAGTCTTCAACTGTTCTCCCTGCCTCCTGTCTCACCTTCCTCAGCACAACTCCCCCAGCTTCCAGGGTAATTCCCCCCCACAGTGGGCACCATTCAGTCCACCTCCACTCCTGGAAGAAGCTCTGTGGGCTCTCTGCCTGCTGTGATGACTCAGAACCTTCCTATTTATCTCAGCCTCTTCCTACCTCATCTACTGCCTCTCTCCCCAAGAGCCCCTTACTGCCAGCAAGTCTGCTCTTGCCTTTGCCTGAACACATGATGCACTTTAACACCAGCTAGTCTACTCCCTGCCTGCACTTCCCCCACCCCCATAAGAATGTATTCCTCTCAGTAGAGATGAGCATGCGCTGAATTTTCTAGGGTAATCCTTAGCGCATTAATTTTATCTTTTTCCCGAACAGTGGTTTGTTAAATACACAAACATATCTTTGTAAATCCTTTCCTATTATAAACTCATAAATAAGAAAAAAATACTTTGCCCTGTGTCCCTATTTTATGATCCAAACTCAGTTAAACAAGTATTTACCTCTTATTTTGCACCACTGTCATGTGTCCAAAATTCCTCGAGCTCCTAATGGGCAGGGCTGTGGCACCAGCATGGCCAATGCTTAGATGGATAAGGACAGGGATGCTGCAAGGGGGCCTAAGGGGAGGTAGGGGAGTCCTGAGGCCCAGGAAGTGGCTGAGTCTTACCTGGGGCTGAGGAGCAGCATGGTACTCTTTCATCAGATCTGGCGAGTAGAGCTGAGGGACAGGCTTGAAGGGGTTCAGAGCCACCAGGGTGCAGCCAGCATTGGTGTAGAATGTGTCTGCCATGTACCGGGCCTGCAAACACCTCAGGACTGAGGCAGAGGTGCTTTTAGCAAACTCTGGCTTAAATGTAGACACTAGCATACACAGACATCTGCCTAACAGCACTCCCTCTGCACTCAGCCAAGAGCCATTAGATTCCAGCAGCTCCCTGATGAATAGGTACAAGATCTAATTAAGATGAACGCCAAATCTGGAGCAAAGTCGGTGTTGGGGAGCCCAGATGCACTTGCCAGGCTGGTCTGAAGCAGTGTATCTGGCTCCAGGTCCGGAGTCCTGCCTGCCTTGTCTGGCCAGGGGAAGCTGTGCTGAATACCTACACCAAAGCGCCACGCTCTTGGAGACGGCACTCTTGAGGAGGGGGAGGCCCATACCTGTCTCCAGCGCCACAGGGTTCACCTTGGTGAGGTCATCCAGCAGGTGCAGCGGGGCCTCCTGGCCTAGAAACTCCTGCAGGTCTTCTCTGAGGGCTTTCCCACTGTGGGCATCAGGGCCTGAACTATGGCCATTCACCTGGAGGGTAGAACAGGGCCAGGAGAGCTGTGACTCAGACCAGCTGGCAGCTGTGTAGGGGTAGGACTGTACAGTGGAGAGAGAATTGGCTTCCAGTATCATAGTCTGGTGGGTTCAAATTTCAGTCCTACCACTTATTAGGCGAGTGAGCCTGGGTAAGTGACTTAACCTCTCTGAGCCACAGGTGTTTTTTTTTTTGTAAATAAAAGAAAATAAAGCCTGTTCACAGGGCTATTGGGAAAAACAAGAAGCAATATAAAGAGCACTTAGTCCTTGGCACACAGTGAATACTGGATAAATCAATAAATGCTATCCCGTCTCCTCTGCCATGAGCTCCGGCTTCCAGGCTGGCCAGCTACTAGCCTTATTGGGCCCAGCAGGGTTGGGGGCCACGGTGGGGGGCTGCTATAGGAGTATCACAAAGGAAAAGAACCATGTTTTGGGCTCTTTTTTTTTTTTTTAACACGTTAAGTGCCAAGCCTGCTTTGTCTTCCTTTCCGTTTAGCCTGCGATATCCGATTTCACCGATATGCCGGCAGCACCAGTGAGTGACGGGTCCAGACGGAAAGTATAGCATCAGTCACCGGTGACTGACATGGCACTCACCGTGTTAAAGAAACCATTCAACTTGAGATGAAAAATCAGCTGTGAGGTAGCTCCAGGCCTTCATCACCTGCCTCTTGCGGCTTAATTAATCTTGGGGGTTAATTACACAACTAGTTTCCTGTGCCCTGGGTCTACTTAAGACGCTCAGAAGACGAGGGAGCAGGCCCTTTCTCCTCCCTTTCCCATGCATGATGCCAACATTTTCCACATGTTTCTTCTCCCTATTTCTCCTCTTTTCTCTCTGGGGGATGTAGGGAAGATGGGGTGGGGAGAAGACAGTAACCTGCCTGAACTCTGCTTTTGGAGGAAAGGGTCTGTGATATGACCTGTGTGGGTTTCCATGAGACTAGTGAGCCCTACAAGTTCAAATCCCTCAAGCCCAGGTGGCAGGTGTCATTTGAGAGGCCCAATGACAAGTTTCTTTTTTCTAAAGACTTTTTTTATTGATTTCAGAGAGGAAGGGAGAGGGAGAGAGAGAGAGAGAAACATCAATGATGAGAGAGGTTATTGATCGGCTGCCTCCTGCAACCCGGGCATGTGCCCTTGACCGGAATCGAACCCAAGACTCTGCAGTCCGCAGGCTGACGGTCTATTCTCTGAGCCAAACCTGCTCGGGCAACAAAGACGTTGCCTCTTCTCTGAACTTGGGCCCACCATGATGTACAAGGCAGCGTCTTGGCCTCCAGAGTAAGTGCTGAGGTCAGAGCATGGCTAGATCCCTGGAAATCCCTCTGCTTTGGGGGCCATAGTAGCCTTTTCCGAGTGGCAGAGATCCAATAGCAACCCCCCCATGTGCCCTGTGGATTCATCAGAATCCTTCTCTATTTCCACAGAGGTCATCTCCCACACTTTTGCACAGACTGACCTCTTTGTTTGGACCGCTTATTTTCCTTCGCTACTTGGCTAATTCTTACTACTACTTCTTTTTTTAAATATTCTTTTAATTGATTTCAGAGAGAAAGGGAGAGGGAGAGAGAGATAGAAACATCAATGATGAGAGAGAATCATTGATCGGCTGCCTCCAGCACACCCCACATTGGAGACTGAGCCCGCAGCCTGAGCATGTGCCCTGATCAGGAATTGAACTGTGACCTCCTGGTTCATAGGTCGATGCTCAACCACTTAGCCACACTGGCCAGGCCCTACTTATTTTTTAAGGCCCAGCTTCAAGGAGACATCTTCAGGGACATCTCTCAGCTTCACCTCCTTTTGGAAGCCCCAGGCTTCCCCTGTGCCTCAAGAATTCCGGCTGGCAGTGACATCTCTCAGGACTTCCTCACTGGTTCAGGCTTGAAGGTCACCAAAGTGCCCTCAGGAGTCCCTTAACCCAGTGGTTCTCAACCTTGGCTGCACATTAGAATCACCTGGGAATCTTTTTAAAATCCTGATTTCTGGGCCTCATCCTCCGGAAATTCTGTTTCTTTGTTATGGGGTGAGGCCACAACATTAGTAACAAAGAAACAGAATTTCCGGAGGATGAGGCCCAGAAATCAGGATTTTAAAAAAAGATTCCCAGGTGATTCTAATGTGCAGCCAAGGTTGAGAACCACTGCCTTAACCACACCAAGGAAAAGAGCTATCAGCTACAACAGGGGAGATTCAAATTAGGTATCAGGAAGAACTTAACAACAGGTGAAAGGCACTGGAATAACTTCCTGAAGTGAGAAAAGAAGACCTTTAAGGGATCGTTTTCTTCCTTCCCGGACAGAGTAGTGAAACTACATTCAGACAAGTAAAAGATACAAATGTGCTTCAGGTGTTTTGGGGCCTGGGTTATCTGAGGGTGAGGTTTTACCTGCTGGAGCATCCTGCTTCAGTGTGGTCAGCCAGAGTTCTGGGTTACAGGCAGAAGGAGTGCAATCCACCTGGTCATGAGGACACAGGCTCGGGCATGGGTCCAGCAAAGGGCTCAGTTCTGGAAGAATCTGAGGTGAGTCATTCCAGAGCCTATGGCATGAGAGAGAAGACAAGGGCCACACACAGGTGAAGGCTTCTTTAGGGTGACTCACTCCCGCTCCCCGCACCGAGCAGAGGAACCAAAATGAGAACCAGAGCGAGCCTGGGCAGAAAGGAAGTCTCTTCTATTCCCTGCCAAGTAGGGAGCAGGGGAAACTTTTACAAGAGCTTCTGGAGGCTCCCTGGGCTCTTCCGGGGCTAGTTTTACTACAGGGTTAGGGGTGGGGCTGCAAATCTGGGTCAGCGTGATGTGGAGGGTGAAGACACTCGGACACAGAGACGTCTCCTGCTCTCTCTTCTCCACCAGACAGAAATATCCTCTCTTAGCATAGCTAGTAGTTGGTGGGGTGGGGGGCTAAAGTCAACCAGATTCTCCAGGAAGCGAGATCAGAGCTCAGTCATTCACTGGTAAGTCACATCACCTTCCTGGTCCACTTTGATGCCTCATCTTGCAAATGGAGATAGTAAAATCTACCTGGCAAGGAGTGGCTGTGAAGGTCACTGAGGTCATGGATTGAAAGCAACCCACAAAACACAAATCTGAATATGCACTCAGAGGGGAAACATTGTTAGTACAATTAACAAAATCTGGGGGCACTAATCAGGTGGAATATTCCAGTGTCAACTTTAAAATGAGAATTTCAGAGGATGGGAGCCCATCTGAGAGAGGGGTGTTGTGAGTTGGGCTTAGGCCAATTTCTGTAAAACTGTAAGTGACCCTCAGACTCAGAATTTCCCAGGCCGCACACTGTCCCAGCAAAGCATGATGAGTGGCGTCTGAAATGGATTAACCTTGGGGGGTAGTTTCTTTAAGAAAAAAAATTTTTTTAAAAAATTGATTTCAGAGAGGAAGTGAGAGGGAGAGAGCGATAGAAACATCAATGATGAGAGAATCATTGATTGGCTTCCTCCTGCATGTGACACAATGGGGATGGAGCCCACAGCCCAACCTGGGCATGTGCCCTGACCAGGAATTGAACCGCGACTTCTTGGTTCATAGGTTGATGCTCAATTACTGAGCCACCCCGGCCAGGAGTAGAGACTTTCTTTTTTTTCTTTCTTGCTTTTTTTTAATTGGGTGGAGACTTTCTTAAAGTTCTGAATACATCTAGCCTTTGAAAGAACAGGAATAGGAACTTCCATGGGAACATTCAGGCAGAGAAGAGCATCTGGCCTGTTAGACACATTCCACATTCACCCTGGACACTGACTGTATCCCATCCAAAGGACAGCTATGCAGAGGCTCCAGAAACTCAAGAACAAAACTCCCTCGATTGGAAGCTCATCTTAGAGGACCAGAGGCGGAGCATGAGAGGTGGTGGGTTAGAACCCAAAGCCCCTCAGATGCATATCACTAAAGCTCTCTAAGCTTTATATCCTCATTTGCAACCTCCACAACCACTCCTTGCGAGGCAGATTTTACTGGACCAGGAAGGTGATGTGACTTACCAGTGAATGACTGAGCTCTGATCTCTCTTCCTGGAGTATCTGGTTGACTTTAGCCTCCCACCCCACCAACTACTGGCTATGCCAAGAAAGGATATTTCTGTCTAGTGGAGAGGAGAGAGCAGGAGGCTTTTCTGTCTCCCAGTGTCTTCACCCTCCACATCACACTGACCCAGATTTGCAGCCCCACCCCTCACCCCTGTCGTTGGCAAAAAAGGAATACTAACACCCAGACCTCACAGTGTAGAGTTCAGGATCAAATGGGCTGCCGCTAGTGGAATCCGTGAGAGCTCTTTGCAGATGCTGGTTATTGTGTGCAGTGTCAGCTCTCAGCCAGAGTTAAGGCAGGTTAGAGCGGTTTTCTCCAGTCCGCCCCGCTCTTGCTCCCACTGGGCTTCGTGGTTACCAGCCAAGCAGTTCTGGAAAGGGTGTGACCACTGCGGGCAGGAGGGAGCCGGTAATGAATAGATGAAACACCAACTCAAGGCAAGGCAAGCGGCAACCTGATCACCAGCTCCTCCTCCTCCCCAGCCTCAGCTTCTCCTCGGCTCCGAGGGCAGAATAGAAAAGCCGGGTGAGGGTCCTGGTAGCCTCGCCAGCCCCGCCCTGAGGTTCCCAGCGGGAACCGGGGGCTCCCGATCCTGGCAAAGGACCCGCCGGGCCAGGGCTGGGATGCCGCTCCTTAAGCACCTGGCACGGGGAGAGTATGTCCTTCCCGGGAAGGTGGACGTGACCCCAGCCAAGGGCGCAGCTGCCCCGACGCCTCCCGGGGCCAGTGCCCCCTCCCAGGTCCCTCTGGAGAGGAGCAGGGCGGGGACCCACCCTGCCGACCCAGACCTCCCTCCAACCCCCACTGAGGGTCGCCCGCTGCTGGCAAGGTGGAAGGAAGGTGACCATGAAAGGTCCTTGTTCACAGAAGTTCCTGGTAAGGGCCAGGATCCAGGCTACCTTCCCTTGCGGTACGAGAGGGTCAAAAGGGAAAGGGCAGGGAAAAGGCGCTTTGGAAAGGGGAGATGTCCACTTCTGCCTCAGCGCTCCGGGGGCAAACCGGCCTCCCCCGCCCCTTGGGGGTCACGGAAGGGCTACAGACCGGGGCTGGGGTGGCACTCACCGATCCCACGGCCTGAGCGTGCGGCCCCGCCGGCCCGGCTGGAAAAGCGGGCGGGCCGGGTGGGGCGGCGGGAAGAGCCGGAGGAGCGGAGGGAAGAGGAGGGGCGGGGGCGA